TCCGCAATGATAAGAATTTGACTAGTACGGAAAGGTTTTTGTCCTATGGACCTGACGCTTCGGCAACCTGGCATTCTCAAAGGCTTCAAGTTGCACAGGAATTCTGCGATACTTTCATCCGCTACGATGCAAAAAAGGGAAATGGGCAATACAATCGTCTTCATCGTTTCATCATTTTGCCATTTGCCACAGCACAATTGGCATCTTACCTCACTATAAAAGCCGATGTTATTAACAAGAGTTACATGATGCCAAGAGCTAAAGCTAACACCATTCGAAGTTCAGTCAAAATGGAAAACTCAAAACTGTATGGTAAGGATACAGATGGGAGATTGAGATTGACCAAAGCCGCATCATTCTTCCCGGAGCACGCTACAAAGGATATAAAATATAAACTAAAGACTATCAAAGACTTGAAAGCATCTGCGCTCAAAGAAATCAACACTGCGAAAGACTATCTGCGCCGACAGATGGAGTTCCTCGACTATATGTTGACAGAGAAAACGATCAAGAAGGATCCTGAAATAGTTCTTAGATATGAGAACTGGGAAATGCAAGTTTTGGGCGGATTCCGTTACCCCGACCCTGACGCTCTTCTTGACATCTTCCAAGTTATCAAAGGCGTTCGAACGGCAAAGGCTAGTAAGACCAGAGATGACTTTTACTATGAAATCCCTGATCCTGCTTATGGTCGCCGTGTCTGGCCTTCTCTAACCGACAAAGTCTTACACAACGGTCGAAAGATGCTTGGCCTTATTGCCCATTTTAAAACAGGACTCATCGAAGTGCACAAAACTGCTATGGACCTTGTGCAATCCAGAGCGGATTATCGCTATTATAGGTCTGTAGGGCAGATTGACCGAGCTGGCAGTATGACACCTATGGGGGATCTCACATGTAACTTTTGCAACAAGAGCTCGCCTTTGAACAAAGCTGTTGTTCAAGGTAACTGTGGCCATATCTTGTGCTCGAAATGCAACAACATCTTATCGGAAGGCAATTGCCCAATCGAGCACTGTGGTGGGCAATCACTAGATGACCAAAAGTACTTGGCGTTATCCTTGTATTCTTCAGCTGGAAAATTTCTCGAGCGCAAAGAACCAGGAACTGAAGACGACGAGCTTTCTCAATTCTGGAACAACCCAAGTGTTCGAGTCGACAAGCTGACAGCTATGCGTTCGATCTATTGGAAGCACGATGACGGCGAGAATAAATTCATAGTATTCAGTCCTCTACCAGAGTTTTTAGCCATAGCCCAGAAAATGATGGAAGCTGATGGTGTTCCTTGTATCAACCTGAAGGGCAAAAAGAAGGATGTCGCTGATTATCTTGAAAACTTCAAGAATAATAGAGGCATGCGATACAGAGATGATAAAAAAAATGTCAAGCCCAAAACACCTGCACAAATCAAAGCTGCAGAAACTAGAGCTGCAAAAGCAAAAGCTTTGAAGGATGCAAAGCTTGCAGAAGCGGCTAGTGTACCGGTTGATATTGACGCTATTCCTGATGACGCTAATACTATTCCCATTGATGCTAATGCTATTGAAGTTGATGCATCACCACTTGATGTTGATGCTATTCCTGGTGATGCAGCACCAGCTTCTATGGAGCTAAGCATTCGGGTTAATCCGATTTCTCAAATCCCCCAAAAGAGAAAGAGGAAAGCTGTAGCTACAAATGGTAAAGCTATCGAAGTTGAAGCAAAATCTCTTGGTGTTGCACCAGTTGATAGTGACGATACTCCAATCAAATCTACGTCAGCTTCTGTTGAGACGAACATTCAGGACAATCCAGCCTCTCAAGGTCCCCAGAAGAGAAAAAGGAACAATTCTGTCGACGACACTCATATGGGTCCTGTTTCCAAAGTTCGACGTGTTGTCTCACTAGATTCGGTTAATCGAACTCCAGTTGCTTCAGGTTCCGCCCCTATTCCAGATTTTCAAGGTGCTTCGGTCGTTCATGGAGATATGATGAGCGGTACAAATCCCGATCTTGATTTATCCCGTACCGAGTGGAGAGCCGAGCTTAATACTAATTCTGAGCCCGGTCCTTCTGCGCCAGGTCCTTCTGCACCAATTGTAACACGAACCCCTTGCTCAACTCGTTCTGTAACAGCAAATCCTCATTTAAGCGCTGAAGATTACATGATGACGACTGGATTGGGATATGAGGTTGATCATGCTGGCACCATTATTTACACGGATCAGGATAGCCCTATTCAAGCCCATGAACTCGTTGATGATGACAATGTAGTTTATGATGCTCCTCCACCCTCATTCCCTGTCCCAACTCACACTCGTTCGGCAAAAGAGACAAGAAAGGCTATAAAGGCATGGGTGGCTAAAAACAAGAAGGTCGTTAACTATCCACCACTTGATTTTTCCGAGCTCGAAGACATTAAGGAAGCCGCTGCTCCCGAAGTCCGGATATGCAATTCTCTCTCGGATGATTTGCCTGTGGATTGGGCTCGCGTTGGTAAGGAGGCGTTTGATCCTGAAGAATTTGCTGAGAATCCTGATCCTACCGCTCGTATCTTGTTCCTCGACATTGCCGATGAGTCTGCTGCCGGATCCAATTTAACTGTCGCTAAGCATATCATCTTCTTGACTCCTTACTATGCCGAAAAGCAAAAGTACAATTCTTCAATGACTCAGGCAATGGGTCGTGCAATTCGTCATGGTCAAGAACTAGGTGGCACTGTGACTGTTCACCATCTACTTGTTCAGGACTCTGTCGAGACTGACATTGCTTACGAGCTTATGGACGATCAATTTCCAGGAAGGGTCAATGCAACGGAGTTACTTGCTAAGCACAAATCTAACATTGAGCCTGCCTTTTTCAATAGATAAGCTATGCTGGTTGGCCTGTTTTATTTGTCTATGGTCTTTCTCTTAGTTGGTTATGTTCAAATCACAATTGTACTATGCAATATCAACTGGTGCACGCTAGAGCATGTGTGCATGAATGCCGTTTACTCAATCTGCATACCTCAGACTTCAAGTCTTGCTCGCTCACTTCCTTTGGTCAAGGTGGACCAGAGATGTATGGATTTCAGATTGAATAGATAATTCATAATGATCTGAGAGAATTTTCCTTTTGGGGTGGCTACTTCGATTCTCATTTATTTGTTCTTGTAGGGGATTGGTGGATTGTTTCACGAGTGATAGTGGGGAGGGCGGTGGTAATGACTTCAGTGTTCTTCGAAATAGGAGTTTGTTTCTTACTTGTGGTGGATAGCATAAAGTCTATGACTTTCTCTATTAGTTCTCAAATTGGGGTTAGTTAGTTTTTTCTTCGACGTATGTCGTTGACTAGTGTTAGGATGTCTCATTTCTCGACGATGAGAAAGGGTCTAGTTATTTCTTTTTTTCTTCTTCTAGATGTCATAAGACTTCTGCCAGTCGCATTAAATGCCTCCAACAGAAATAGTATAAGAACAATGGAGTTTTATACCAAGCAGAACCGACTAATTCTACAATTGTGAATCTTATGTTTGAAGTAATGTGATGTGAGATGATTTGGCTTGTAACTTAACCTATGGTGTTGACTTGAACTACTGACTAGTCTATTCCAACGTTGTCATAGTATGTTCATCGAAATTTCTCGGGATAATTCGAAGAACGAAGTAATTCGGTATATTCTAGACCATGTATTCGGAAGGGAAGAGAATACCAGGGACAATTAAGCTCTCTGCATAGGTAGTTGTACTCGAATAGCCTTCAAAATGTAGACAGACAAAAGTATACGTAATGCTTGCTACGATATATGATCTTGTATATCATCATTATTTCGAGATGGCTTCCAGCTCGGGATGTGGGCCGCATACCTAATTAAACGATGTAGAACATAAAATTATCATAAATATCTCTAAATACATTCGCTTAAACTACAAAGTCGCCTGTTTCTATCTCCATGGAGTTGGTTCTTGAACATGAATAGTTACTTGAGAGGTGAGTGTTAGAAACGAGGAATACTTCTTCTATCCCTTGTTTTTCAGCTTTTTCTTTGGTCTACACGCGAAACATATTTTCCCTATGTTTTAAAGCCTGTGTGGAAACTCTCTGTTATAGATCTTGATGCTTCGGAGAGGTTCTATTCACAAGACACTATATGAGAGATTGAGCATCTACATAATTGAAAACAGATTATCAAATAAATTACGATATATAAAGATTGCCGATACGTTCCTACGAATACACAGTTCATCGAAAACAAATACTCCGGACGGTACAACAATCAAACACGATACCATCAATCTCCTCTCCACCCACGACCAGCAATTTCACAGAGCTCTTTTTTTTGTACGTAACCCCGTCCTCCTAACCCTCCCCTTTCCATATCAAAAGTTCCTCCACTTTATCACTGCTAACTTTCATTCCGGTCCACAGTCCACACGTTCCCCTACAACAGTTATCCACGATGCAATGCATTTTCTGCGACGCCTGTGTCTTCACTGGGCATGAGACCTGCCACCTATGCGGAGCCTATATTCCGGCGGACAGGATCATTCAGCGCGTTAGGATCACCGAGCAACCTGACAAAACTGTGGCGATAGAGCACGAGAAGAACGTGGAATTGTGGCAACCCGTTTCCAAATCGGACACGGAGGAAACGGATGATAAGCCATGCATGGTGGTAGAAGTCGACAGATCTGGATCACTTGTTTCTGTGGTCATGAATGAGAAATATGTGCGTGTCTCAATGAGACATAAGGATGCCAGCTGCCCGGCGAAGTATGGACCCGTTGAGAAGGCCGAGTTGTGGAACGTCTCTGGAACGACAATGTGAGACATTATGCAACGCTTGCGGGCTGATGCTGCTTGGTTGCCACATGGGTCGGTGGAAGGTATGGAGATGGGAGGAGACTAGGAGGGAAACGAGGGTGAGATATGGAATGAGGAATCTGTGGGGGCAAGGGTGAAAGTTTTGGTTGCGGGATGAGAGTTTTCGTTTTGACTCTTGATAGACAATCAATGTTGGATTGTTGATTATGACTCTGACTACTTTCCCCTCTTCAAATTTTCTTTCTCTTCCACACTTAGCTTATTGAATTCTGCCAAGATTGTCTCATTTTCAGCAAGCTTTTCCTCTGCTACCTTGGCTCTGTCCTCTGCTGTCTTTATCCTATCCTCGATCGCCTTCTTTTCCGCTTCCGTTTTCTCTATGCCCTCTCTTTTGAGTTTCGCCAACCATATAACGCTATTTAAGGATTTTTCTGCGGAATAATGGGGGATACTTGGAGATTCCCAATGAAAAGTTCTGTTGTAAAATTTGACCGATTTATTAAAAATGGCAGGGGTTACGTCTTTAAAAGCGTTGTAAAATGTCGCCGCGAAAGTTTTCGCCGCTTCTGAGGGCACTACGTTTCTCCTTGCCAATGCCTCTCTCAGCGCTCTCGCCCATTGCTTACTTTGAAGTCTTTCCAGCTCCTTCAATTCCCACCATTCTGGAAGATAACCCCCATGCTCCCAGTCGATGATCCCACTCACATGCTTATCTTTCACCATAATATTCTGCACGTTTAAATCCCCATGCGTGAGCACAAAAGGTCCTCCAGGCTTGATAAGAAGGGAATATTGTTCCATGAGATGATCCTTACGAGATTTATCCCGAATGCTCGGTTCCACTCGAGCCCACCATTCGTCCACATCAGACGTCCAAAAATGCAAGGCCCCTTGAGGACCGAAAGTTGAGTCTCTTATCAGCGAACCATCTGGAGCTTGTAGTTTATCTGATGTAAATTTACGTAGTTGTACAAGATGGTCCGCGACTTCGTCAGCAAGGACTACTACCTCGTCCCATAAAAGTTGGGGCCCAATCTTCTCCAACGATTCACCTGGAACCCTATCCATGAGAAAAAAATTACTTGCACGATCCGACCAATGCTTCATATTCTTTGCCACAGGAATCGTCGAGTTTTCGTCCAAGAAATGAGTCATTGGATATTCAGGGCCTAGGTAGTGATCACCGAACCTGTTATTATCAATAGCCACTTCTTTCAAAATGTATTTGTCGCCAATTGCCCATACACCCCCAGGGCCGGAGTGGCCAAGCACTTTAACAGTGCTGATGTAACTGCCGTGAAGCGCATTTGTAGCGGTGAATCCACAATTCTGGCATATCAAGAGATCTGGAGATTTTGGACGTTTCGCATGATGCTCCCTCGCCTCTTCCTCTGTAGTTCCTCGAAAGGGTGTATACTGTCCTGGCATTTTCCTGTATGTATTGAGGGGCTTGAAGTGATTCGGTGCACGGGCTTCGATGCGAAGACTTGATAGTGATATGCCTGATTACAACAGTACAGATGGATGATGACACTTAGGTGTAGAGTATGAGGAAAAGGCAATCAGACAAATAGGTTCTCAAGGATAAAGAAGTATTATTTTATGTAACCCCACTATGTGAAATAAAGTTGAATAATGAAAATGTCTTCTTTCATATAAAGGTAGAAGCTTTACTACTAGTGTACACGATCAATTCTCCACCCAATTGCTGATGATTTTTGTATATCCCGTGTTGTTTTCGAATGGATTTTCTACTGAATGAAAGAAAAGGGATGGAAAGGAACTTATTGCATTGAATAGGTAGGTAGAACAAAGGAGATGGTAAAGATCTCGATTGGAATGAACATCTACCGAAGACGAATGCCATTTTAATTTCGTTGTATAGGAAGAATAAAGGAGACCTCGGGATTCACCATAGAAGAAAGAAACTCGATTTCAATGCATCCCAATGCATCTGTACATGTGTAGGCACAATGGTAGGGTTTCGAATTAGGTTGATGAAGGATTCGATGATTATGATCTATCAAGAAAGTTGTATAAGGAACCTTGGTACGATTTTATTCTGGAGTAGCTTAGACACTACAATGCTTCCTGTAGCTTCTTTATTGTGTTTTGGGAAACATAGGTATATACACATCCTTTGAACTTACATTAGACTTCTTCGCGTAGGCAGTATTGGATATCATAGCAGTGCTTAACATCGTTGATGGATGGAAGCTATAGCTTTGGAAGTAGGAGATTCCGTATAAAAATATCGAGAAAGTAACTTTACTTTGCACGCCCACGGCTCTGTGTTGATTAATGCTCCTCGCTATGTTCTGATGATAAAACGGGAAACGGAAAGGATTTATTACAGCACTAGCCATCAAGAATTGAAAGAGGAAGTGGCAAATAAATCAAAGTTTTGAATGCTCTTAGATAATATCTTCGAGGAAGTCATGATATAACGATGCCGTGAAAAAAAGGGGTTGATTAATGACCTTATCATAAGGAAAGAAAGGACGCGTTCCCTACCTTATATAAGATCTTGCCTTCAGAAAGTAGCAGCGATGAAGCTTCATTGATCCATCTCGAATACCACAAGTCTCTAAATACTCCCATTCATCTATAAATCATGTATATGATGATGTATTGATGATATTGACGTTATGGATAGTGGAACGGACATGGAAAATGCAAGATTCCGGCTTAGAAATATCCGTCCCTCTCGAGAGCCCCTGACCGATTGCGGGTCTCGGCTGCCGGGTAAGGTTATGGTATACAATCTTACCAATCATCTTGATATACTTTCCATTCCTCATTTTCCGTGAATATTCGCAATCTTTCTAATATCAATGGGATTGTAAAACCTTTCATCGACGCAAGTATCAAAACGAGAATAGCTCCAAGACAAAGAGGTTGCGCTTTATCGCTGTCGTTGAAAGTAGAATTACCATACGAAATCAAGGTGGTGGCGAGCTGACTCATCAAGAAACCCATCCGCCGGATCTCCGCTTGAAGGTAACATAAACAGATAAGGGAACGACGAGATGGGAGGAAATGGAATCGCGGGAAAACGCCACGGGAATGGAATAAGTGATGAGCGAACTTCATTGCTCGGGCATAGAGAGAGAAGTGATCGGGTTGATGGAGATGAAGATAGATTGACAGACGGGCAAAGTGGGGGAGACGATACCATCAGCAATGTCGAAGAAGAAGATGAGGATAAAGCAAATCAACAAGTTGGGAAGTTTAGAGCTATATTGATCAGTATCAGTGTATTTGGATTGGTATTTCTTCAAGGTGAATTGCTCTCCTATAGCTCCGGGAGTTTTTGATTGGAGATGAATGATCTCTCTCTCTGTCTCTCTTGGACTGAACTTCATATACTAACGCAATTATACCCACAGCCTCAAACATGTCCGGAATATCAACCACACAGTCCAAAATAGCAGAAGATCTCAATTCATTTGCTGAAGCAAGTTGGTTTACATCCACCTACCTCGTAAGTCATCCTTCCCACCATCAAACAATCACGCCCTTACATCTAGCCTTCAGATCGCCCTGTCTTCCATGTCACCCGTGGCCGCTCGTCTGGCCCAGATTTTCTCTCCGAGGAATTGTATCTTAACCGCCGCATTCCTCTTTTCAATCGGGGGTATCGTCACCTCACAAGCTCCAGATCTCAAGACCTTCCTCATCGGAAGAGCCATAAGTGGGATCGGTGGTGCGGGTATCATGACGATTAGTTTCATCTTGATCTTAGAACTCACCACCAAGAAGCGAAGGGGCATCTTCATCGGACTTGCAAATTCCGGATTTACCGTGGGTGTATCGCTTGGTGCAGTGGTCTGGGGAGCTTTATTGCCCGCTGTAGGCTGGAGAGCTCTATTCTTGTTCCAATCACCTCTTGCTATCCTTTCGGGAATAGGAATTTATTTCAGTATCCCAAAGAGTTTTACTTCTGGACAGAAGAGCATTGATGGCGCATCGATTACTTCCAAACTTGCCAAGATTGATTATCTCGGATCGCTTTTTCTCGTAAGTACCAAATGCTCACAACACTGTACCTATGAAGCATGGGACTAGAACTCATACTAAACCTTCCAGGTAACAACCATAATTCTCTTCCTCTACGGTCTCTCCTCGCCCCAAATCGAATCGCTACCCATCCTCTGCTCTCTCCTCACTCTCATCCTCTTCCTCTACATCGAGCTCAAAATCGCCACCGACCCCATCATACCCATTGCGGTTTTGAAATCGCGCGGCGCTCTCCTCTCCTGTATTTCTCAGCTGGGAACCATGGCTGCAAGATGGACCATTCTATTCTACACGCCCGTCTACGCAATTTCTATCCGCGGCTGGTCACCCGCTTCCGCAGGCTCTATTCTCATCCCTACCAATCTGGGGTTTGCCCTGGGTGGCATCGCAGCCGGCGCATTCCATATCAAACGAGCAGGGAGTTTCTGGCTGTAAGTTCCCTTCATCCTTCTATATAAAAGAATAAGGACAAGAAAAAGAAATTTCTAACCTCCCATCGGCAGACCCTCCATCCTCACTCTTCTCTTCTTCTCCACCACCCTCCTCTTCTTCTCCTTCCTCTCCACCCCCACCACTCCCACTCCCCTCTACCTCCTCCTCGCCCTGCTCAACGGCCTCACCATCGGCTCCGCCCTAAACTACACTCTCGCGCACCTTCTCCACCTCACTCCCCCCTCCACCCACTTCATCTCCACCTCCCTCCTCACCACCTTCCGTGGTTTCGCCGGCTCCTTCGGCTCTGCCATCGGCGGCGGCGCATTTATCCGAGTCTTGCAATCCCAATTACGCGAAGGATTCTCACGCAATGGGGGACTGGAAGGAAGAGAAGAGTTGGTGAGGAAGTTACTAGGCAGTCCGGCTCTCGTGGGTCAATTAGAGGGAGTGGAGAGGGAAGTGGTGATGAGGGCTTATGGAGAGGGCTTTCGAATTTTGTGGCTGGGCGCGGCGGTGTGTGCGTTTCTGATGGTGGGCGTTCAGGCGGCGACGGGGTGGGATAGTCCTGAGCAGGGAGATGTCAAGAGGCAGGATAGATTGGAGGTGGGAAATGGGTTGGGGGTTGGGAATGAGGTATGGGAAGAGGGAATGGAGGAGGGTGTTTAGTGGGTTGTTGATTGGTTCGTTCATTGGCCCGTCTGTTTGTTGAATGCGAGTTGTGTTAGAATGGAGTTTGTATATAGATAGATGGGTATGTACCTAGCAGTTTAGACGAGTGCTTTGTTTAGATAGACCCGTCATGATAGATCGAACTACATGTACCGTAGAAGTAAGTATATAGATTGTACAACGATAAACAGAGTATACAAATAGAATTACTACATTCTCATCTCGATTTATTATCAAATGAAATATTATTCCCGTTTAATACTTATATTTGTTTCTATTACTTGTATTTTAAGAGATTATATACTACTTTAAATCATTCAAATCATTAGATTTTCAGACTTACCAACACCTTCAATACTTCGATACAAGCCGGAAACAAGAGGTTAGCGATATATATATATATATATATATATAGATGATAATATTATTATCAATTTTTTCTTATTATATTTATAATTTTTTTTTTAGATGAGATTGATTCTACTCCACTCCACTCTACTTAAGTTAATGTACAGATTACTCTCTCAAAAAACCCTCAGATCTCTAAAGAGCTTTCAAATTCTTATTCAGATATCTTTTATCAAATTTAATATTTCGAAAGCTACGCAGTATGAGTATCGGTATACGTACCTGACAAGTCCTGAGTAGTATTAAAAATTATTATAAAGAGTATTAGTGAGACTGTCGTTATTTTTAGCTACGAAGGGGAAAAAGCTCGTCTTTCTAAACACTTAAATCCCTAGGTTGGCTAGTACTGTTCCAATCATAATCCTAATTCCATCCCAATTGCCAATTCCCAGTTCTATACCCCATCTTGATCATTACTTCGTATCCGGTTCATTATATGCAAGAAATACCATTGAAACCACATCTCCTCTAATACATCCCCCATCATTCAATAATCCAATCTATCAAACCAGATCATCTTCCCTTCCTATCGCTACCTTCCCCTTTTCCATTCTTTTTCCTTCATTATCACCTCCATCATCACCCAGTTGCATTTCCACCTCTCCACCCACAGACCCTTTTCCGTCAATCGCATCCCTCCACCCCTTTCCCCACCTAACAGCCGCCCAAGTCGCCGCACTACTAACCACCAAGAACCCCGCACTAATCGTCGAAAACCAACCTACCCCAATTTTCTCCACTGCCGGTAGCACCGTCGCACTCCCCGTCGCCGCAAACAAATATCTAATCATATAATTCCCCGCAATAACCTCCGCACCATTCCTCTGCATCACATCCAAACAATACGTATTCAGACTTGGAAAACAGAAAAGTTGAGCCACCCCTTGCAAGAACAT